TGTGTGCGATTCATCACCTCAGACTCATTACAGCAAAACACGTCGGAGACTCTGTAGAAATCTGGATCCAAGTCAGGAATGGCCGGCGCTGGGTTGAATATTGTCTTCACTGCAACAAGAAACCATGCAGCGATCCATGTTATTGACCTCAGTGTCAAACGTCAACATCTACAGGATAACATGCAATCATTAGCAAGGCAGAAAAATATAATTGTTCTCCATAATAGACCCTGTTATAGCTGTCAGCCTGCTTTCAGAAGGACTTTTCATAAAGTCCCTCTGTGACACATTTTACAATTGTGTGGTGTTTCTTTTCCATTTCTGAGCCTCACTGCCAAGATCTGGCAATGCCTTAATTAAACTTTCAATGGGAACAAAGGCTAGCAGGCTACCGCTGGGGATTGCTCTCGCAAGCAAAGCTCAAGTGGATCAGCTTCTATAAAAAGACACCTTTTAAACAATTAAATTAGCATTCCCCGAAAAAGAAAAGAAACCCTAGTGAAAAGACCTTATATCCTGTAGCATTTTATGTTACGCCCTTAACTGCAGTTCCAGCAATGTATGTACGAAATGGATTCAGCACGAGATATACATTGAACCCCACATATGTGTGTCAGTGTGTGGGTGAGATGAGTTGTGACCCTTTGAGTGTGTTAAGGAGCACAAGCGAGGGAGAGAGCGAGAGTGTTTTTGTCAGGAGTAATCCTCTGTACGTGTTGCACATCACTGTCTGATGCATATTCATGAGCGAGGAGCATTAATGCATCTAATACCGTGATTTCTGTGTATGTGCGAGGATAAGCCCAGCTTGACGAAGCGATTAATTCCGATATCTCTGTGTACAAAATAAAGCCTCATGCAAGCGTGTGCGTCTGAGGGAAATATATGTTCAGCGTTGGTGACATCAAAGTCTGTTGTGCTAAAGTGTGTGCCTAGTTGCTGCTTCTGTGTGTGTTTGCGTGGGCACATAAGAGAGCAGCTGCGTGGGTTTGCGCAGGGCTTTGGCCACCTGGCGCTTTGAGGTGGATGCTGGGCTGCTCGCGAGTAAAAGTGGAAATAATGTCTCCGTCTCTTTTTCAACTCACTCATACTGTACTGCAAATATGCCCATGTGAGCCAAGGCCATGTCACAGATAAGAGACACCGGGGCTCTTTGCGACTCCCCTCTTTTCTCTCTCTCTCCCTCAACTCAATTGCACCTCAGCTTCCATGAATTTGGGATCCAAGTTAAGTGCGAGATTTGCGCCTCCATTTTGCGTTATAGAAAGCAGCTTGTCATCTGTCAGCAGAAAAATTTTAAATAGATTTCTTTTGGTTATTATTGATATAAGGATTATGTAAAAGTGATGCCTAACAACAAATTGAAAATCTCTTTTCAGACACCTCATGTTACAGTAGAACCACATGTTGACAGTCCCAACCCTGGTGATGAATTCACAGGGCACAAGCCCAGGAAAAATGTTCTGTTTCTTCTCTTCTCATGCCGTGCCTTCAGGCTTGGGATCTGTGGACTCTTTAAGCCCACCACTAGCTTTCCACACGAGTGAAATCTGGCTAAATTTGAAACAGGAGTTCAAGAGTTCTGTGCCCATGGTAAAAAAAAAAGGGTCCATGGTGTGGAAGCTGCCTGGACAAGCCAGAGAAGGTGATCTTGAATGGGAGGTCAGTCACTTTAAATCAGCTAGCTTTTTGTTCATACCTCACATGCTTCAAAGTAAAAAGGTAAAAAAAAATTGCACTGTTCAAAATTTTATGGTTCAGTATAAAGAAATGTATTCATGAAATTTATTCTGAACTTGTGTTTTAACCATAGATTCTCCTTACAAGATGGAAATAACTTGTGGCTCTGAAAAGCCCAGCCACAGTTTAGCTCATTTGGGCTGAATGTTGCTTTCACAGTGGTCAGTGTGAATTCACAGCACTCATAGAAGACCAGTGAGTTTGGGAAAAAAAAAGCTTCTAGGTCTGAAAAGCAGCGTGGATGTGCCTTAAACCTGCATTTATTCTAATGGCCAGTAGGGGGTGATTCCTGTGGTTGCAAAAAAAGCCCAATTGTTTGAAAGTCTTTGAAAGAATGGTCCTAATTCCCACCTGATTTATTATCTGAGTAACATTTTATGGTCTCAATTAATAATTTCATGTCTTATAAAATACAACATGTTGTTAATTTTGTAAATCTTGATCCAGTGTAGAGGAAAAAAAGATAAAACAGGGTTGAACATGGCTACTTCCACGACGGCAGTGACGAAAATGCTCAATGGCTGACAACAACGGGCGGCAATATCCAACATCTTTTGTATACAGTATATGGTTTTAATTTAAATTGTGTTCATTTTTAACCCAATGAAATAAAGCTTTTAATGTGCCTCTTCTCTTACCCAAAAGGTGTTCCTCAAAAATGTCATTTTCTTTGCAAAACTGTACAAACCATCTTGAAAGCCTCCATATTTAAACTTACTTGTTTACATTCTAACACATTAAATTCTTATCCCTCCTACTCTTTTTAACAACTCACTCCTTCTCCTGTCACATTTTTTCTCAGTGCTCCCCAGAAGCTCACATGCACACTGAGCGAATGACTGCAATTAGGCACAGCAACACAAAACCTTTTGCTAATTATGGTATGTAAAACTTGATTATCCTGTTAATTGGAGTGAGTGTCACAACATATGTGGAGAACTTGAGCGGCATTAACAGCCCGCTTTTAGTCACAACATGAAGTGAAGCGCTAACCTTGCACTGTATGCCGTGTAAACAGGATAAATGGAGAAAGTATCACTGAATCAAGCAGGCTTACTCATGCTGTTGTCTTATTCAGGCTATTGTCAGTAATCATATTATTATTTGTAGCCAGAACAGCTAGAAAGCACAAAGTCTTCTCCTTGGCCTCATATAGTATACATGCAATACCCAATTTGAAGCACGGAAGCTTCCCCATATGCAGCTTGAGTGCCATTTCTAATATACTGATGCATAAAGGAATTGGCCTCACTGATGCACTGAGCTCTAAACGTCACATGAACCAGTGTCTGTGTCTCAGGTTGCTTTGTTTTGCTCTCCAGGTGTTAGTGAAATCACACAAACACACACGCACAAATGCTCACAGCTGCTGGGACAGATGTGGTAACACTGGGATGTGTGCACACTGAGTCACGTCTGGCAGAAAACTGTGTGCGTGTGTGTCATGACTGTGGGGTTTTTATGCTGGCAGGTTCAAAGTCTGGTCGCACATGTGGCGGCTGAAAGAGCAGCTGGAGCCGCTTCAGTCAGTTTGAGAATACAGTGGGAAAGGTGGACGGGAAAACAAAAGCAGAGAGAAAATAGACAGAGATCACTCACACACTCTGACATGCATGCATGCACTCGCACACACACACACAGAAACACACACACACAAAAAGAAATGAGTCACCAGCAAGTGTGTGAAAGGGCTTTAAGAGGCTCTAATTGCATCTGGTGAGAAATAAAATAGCAGCTTCTTGCTCAGATAAAGAAGAGGGGGAGGAAGACGGGTGAAAACGGAAGAAGAAAGCACGAGTGGAACTACACTACTCCCACCATTTCCTCCCTTCTCAGAACTAATTTATTGCCATTAACTTCCCAATATTAAATGTTAGGTGGCAATAAATTACATATACACACATTTTCCCCTTAAATAAAAGGAAAATCTTCTTTTGAGGTTATCTTAACAAGTGTTTCTAAGAGCTGGCATCTACTGTATGTGTGGCTCCACTTGATGGTGACATTTGCGTAATTTGAGCGGCGCTTCACCCCCGCTGCCAAACCCATTAACACCCAGTCTCTCCAGAGAACTCCATTTACGCAATGCTCCGGCACGGCGACGTCGAGGTGGCATCTATGCCAAGCATCTTCACTCGCCTTGCCTCTCTTCTGGCGCCACATGCTGAGCCTAATCCCGTGGTACGGTCCATGCACCGAGGAAGGGGGGCTCAGGGAGAGAGGGTGGCGCTCGGCAAGGCCATCTGGGTATCCCATCTGCAACACGGCGATGGCTGCGACTCGTTCGTTCTGGCAGCCTGCAGCGAGCGATTATGGACGACAGGCCCTGATGACAGGAGCGAGAGGCTCCCCAGACGTCTCGAATGACGCGGACCGCTGCTAATAATAGGATGCTGTTAAAGATGATTAGCTCGGTAACCTGGTTATGAAAGAAAGGTGGAGGGAGAGAGGGAGGGCGGTGGCCTAAAATAGGGCTTTTGTCGATGCCGGACAGCACGAAACCTGCTCTACAAATCTGTGTGCGCATGCGATGGTGAATGTAGATTGGGGGAAGCAGCAGCGACTCTGGTGAAAAGATGCTTTTGTCAAGTTCTCATGCTCAACTTGCTAAAGTGATAAAAGTCAGTGGGAAGCCTCTTTCTAAGGAGAGATTGTGGGATACAAACAGCAAAGTCACATGACAGATTTGGAAGGATTTGAGCTGTCTCTACTGTGTTTTTCTAGCCTACAAAGAAGACATTGTGCAACAGATTATCAAGCCAAAGCGATGATCTAAAGGTACATAAAGGATTGATTAAACCACATTTAAAACGAGATTATGCAACTGTGCTGTGAGGTAATTACTTGAGCTTCATAAATCAGTTGCTTCAGAGTTCCCTTAAAGAAAGGGAAACCTTTGAAACTATTACCTCTCAACCACATGTGAAGGCAAAAAAGTTTCTGTTTTGAAAGAAAGCCCTTGAGAATGAGACAAAAAGTCATCATAGACAGAGCTGAATACTAGTGGAAAAGATTCAAATGGTTTTGCTCGCAATACTTTCCTCCCCAGTTCTGATATCATAATTGTGTAGGAGAAGGGGATTTCAGATAGTGTCTAACTATCCACAACAAGCCAAAGCACAGACAGAAAGGGAGAGGAATGGGAAGAAATAACAGACACGTCTTCCGGTGAGTCATGATATGAGGTCCATTTTTGTTTTTCCATGTTTTTGTCATAGAATATAGCGTTATCACAAATGACTACCAGTCATAAAATCAGCATGAATGCTAAGTAGAGTCAGTGACATCTATCGCTGTGGAACAAGCAAGTTAAATCTTATATTTCCATCCATCCATTCCTGCATTCATATATCTCCACCTTCTCTGCATCACGGGTGGGGGGTTAAGAACCTATCCCAGCAGTCATAAAATTGAAAAATTCAGACAATTTTCATATTCAGCAGTTTTTAGTCTTTAACGGCTATTACATTTTTGGGGCACTCTTTGGGAACCAGTCGATGTAATTTTAAAGTCAAGCTCAATAATTGTCATGTCTTTGTGGTCATAATGCTCTAAATCCTTTCAGTTGTTGAAAAGTCTGGATGCAACTGGACTCTTGCTACGGAGCCCTGCTGCTGGATAATCTTTTGGCATTTTCCTGAAAGACACGGTGGCTCAGTGGTTAACACTGTTGAAAGCTCTGCAGGGCTGTAACTAGAAAGCTCTCAGTTACAACAAATTTTTATACACAACAACAGAAAGTGAAGATATATGTCATCGCTGCCTCTGCTTGCTACTTCTGAGACTCAAATGCGTGTGGGGCCCATTTCTGTAATATCTTAGCTTCCTTTTGTAACCAGGAAATTTTTCCTCTGGGTTGCGGTCTGTTTAAAATCACAGCAGCTGGAACAGATTCTAATAATAAACAATGAGAGCAACTAATTATTACTACCTGACTAAATTTTCTCCCCTTTTTTTTCTCCAATCTTTTTTTTTTCCAGTGAATGCATGAAAGGAGGCTTGTGTGAAACCTCAGCTTAGCCAAGTATGACCAGAGGCTCAACATGGTCATGAATGAGGATTAGGACAGAAGCGGTTATATAGTCATATTTTTGGCAAAATTATGAAGGTTTGGAACATAGCGAGAACACAGATGGCCTCCGTGAAGTGGATTGGATTGCACAAGTAGTTTGAGAAGATTCCACAGACATTTTGATATTTCTTTGGACTACCAGGATCTATTCTAACAACATGAGTCCACAATAACCACACCCTCTGTTTTTTGTTTTGGGGAGAGGTTTTATGACTATTGTGTTACTATAGGTTTACTCTTTGTTCTGTATGGATACATCATACTGAGTAAACATGTACTGAGGATTTCCAAATCTTTGAAATCTCAGCATGCAAAAGGTGCTCGCTAAATGATTTACTTTCTGACTTCAGAAACATGTGAGGAGGATATACTGGCTCACCTTTGTTGTCGCGAGCCATGCACATCGCCTGCAGGGACGTCTGTGGACTGATCTCCAGCTGGCATACCAGGACTTTTGTGTGGCTGATGGCTGGGAGAGCTTCCTGTAGCTCCTCTGCACCCAGCAGCATGTTGGCACCGGCCACAATTACAATGGCATTCTCACCTGTCCGTGAACGAACATAGAGACATGTGAGACTCCACTGGAATTTTCAAAATCATCAATATGCCATGACATGAGAAGAATGAAATGTAAATTTCAGTTTTTAAACTTTGGCCTACAAAGACAGGAAATATTTCTGTTTTCTAAGCAGCAATGATTTTCCACCGCAGGAACTTCTCCCTGAGACTAGGATGCTTTGGAGTGTATTTCAAGACAAATATATAAATATAGATACTGCCCTGGTTGCTGCTATCAGTTGGAAATAAGCATCAAAACATCTACCACATTGCTCAGGTGTATCTGAGCTTCCTAATGCATGTATTCCTTTGGAGGCACTGTTCTCTACATAGTTAAAAATGATAATAATTCACAGATTTTTTTCATTACTTTTCAACCACCTGAAATAAGATCCAGTTACATTTAAAATGCAAGTTTTATCTAAATACTTATTTTAACAGTTCAAACTGAACTTTGAAGCAAAGTGTGAGACCATTAGCAAACAGGAGAAATAGGTTTCTGACATATTTGAGTAGACTTCCATATGAAGACCCTATTTTTTCTTTCAAGCAGCAGTTTCCAAAGCTGATAGTTAACACTAAGTTACCAAAAACTTCAGTTGCTTTAATGGCCACTTGAGGCTGTCTATAAAAGTGTGTCAAGCCCTGGTTTTGGTAAGTGAAATTAAAGAATTTTATTATGTACAAAATAGTTGGTATGTATGTGTTTGTTACACCTGCACAGTTTATGGATGAAACATGCTAACCAATAATTTAGGAGGCCACTGTCTCATCCACAGATAGTCATTCGTGGCTCAAAAACCAACATGGCAAAGGCTAAAAGACTAATGTTGAGGTTTAAAACCAGTGGGAGAATTCACAGTGGTTATGTCCATGATTTTATCACACTTTTTTTAATTGAATCTGAAATTCACTCAGTCAAATTATGCTGATTGGTGAGCGACAGCTGGACACCACATACCAGACAGTTACAGCAGTTAGCTGGTTTGATTTTACTTGACAGCTCACACTCTTTTTAGAGTGAGTTTCAGTTTCTTCCTTCTGGAAAGGCTTAATGTAGAACAACACAGTGTAAAAATAACTTTGTTTCAGCAGACATCATTCAGAGGAACAAATCTTAGCTTGTACATCTTGTATGATTTCATTTTTTGGCAGAGTGTTGTATTTTATTTCTGTCTGTGTTTGCAAAATTGTGCATGTAAGGACAGATGACTCAACTCTGCAAACCAAATCTATCTACCGACACAAATAAAGTAACATGAATCTCAGTAGTATCAGTTCTATAATAAAATGTTCACAAATTAATATTATAATTCTGTCTATGTAATATAGCTCAATGTCTTGTCAGTAAAAGTGTAAGGATAGTCAAAGAAAGTATTAGCTAGTGTAACATGTAACTGTAAAATACTGTAAAACAACTTCTTACTTGTGAAATTTTATTCCCTGTTCCCTTTCTTGTAGTGTTCCCTTCATTGGAATATCCAAAAGCAGAACAGAGTTTGTCATTTAATATAAGAATGACGCAAAACCCATACTCAGTTCCCTGAACCAGACGGCAGCAATAGAGATGTGCCATGTATGGGATTTCTAGGAACTAAAATAAGTTAAAGGGAAATTGTTTGTCTTTGCACCGGAAATGGCCATTTTTTCATTTGGCCAAGTCTATGAACTTTAGGAACCCCACTGAGGCATTTTAGACAGTCCATGCGAGTCATTTGGTTAATCCATATTCAATTTTAAAACAGCGAGACTGTAAGAAAGCCAGGGTGGTAGAGAAAGACTGAACATGAATAAATGAGAGGACTAGCGTTAACTACAACAAAGGAATTGGAAAAATAATCTTATTTTCTTACTTTTCGCAGTGGACTTATTATAAGTCCCTAAGCGTGAGTCCTTTAGGCTGTGTGTAAATGGAAACAAACAACAGTACGAAGTTAACATAATTTCCTTAGGGATTCTGAACCTGTTATTTCCTTGAAAAAAAAAATACGAGTAAAAAACATGTAACAAGCAAAAACTTTGGTGCAAAAGCACATTTGATGTGATGGTCAAGAGGGTAAAATAGTTTTAAATTATAATCTTTAATAAATAATTAATAGTATTATAGTTTTGTATTATATGTACATTTTTATTTTCTTTTGATTAATAATAATTTTTTAATATTTTTAATATTAAAAAATCGAATTTCTACATATTTTTTAAAATAAAAAAAATAAAAAAATACACATTCAGACAGCGTGAGGGTAGGGTTTGGGAGATCACCAATGATGACTTAAATCTCACAGGATGAAACACAAACTAAAGAATTTCATGTGATAATATTAAAGTATGCTATAATCTCTAAAAATTATGTTGAAGCTTTTTTTTTTTTAAATGATTGAATTAAGTGATCAAAGATATCATGATGATATTCATCCATCCACCTATTTTCTACCACTTGTCTGTGTAATGGGGACAACGGTCTAAGCAGAGATGCCTAAGGCAGACACCACGGCATCAGCCGAAAAACATAATCTCTATTATTATTGTTATTATTATTATTATTATTAATAAAAATTATATATTATTAAATTACTATTTTATTTTATATTTTCATATAAAATATTTTATTTTTATTTTATGTAGACAACACTCCATTTACATTAAAACTAAAGGCATTTCCTTGATATTGTTATTTAATTTCGCATCATTTCTAAGTTACAAACGTGATCTGCATCTCTGATATTCGGTTGTTTTTTAAAAAAAAAAAAGTTTATTACTCATCACTTCTGTAAATAGCTAAACGCATGATATTGATTTAATAGACATTTTAAACACTAAAGTGCCACTTTCAGCCTCACCTACTACCTCGCCTCTCATAGATGTTTTTAATATCCTCACCGCTTTCAACAGAAATTGCTCCCCATGTGGAAAGGCTCACAGTTAAACACACAACTGTCCATACATCTTATTGTGTGGACATCACAGATGCATATGTAGTGAAATTCAAGTCTAAAACTGACACCACAGTTTAAAATAACTTTTTTTTAGTTCAAGTTAATCCCCTTTTTGTGCCAGGGAAACAAAGAAATCTTCCCTGTATAAAGTTTTTCATCTCTTCATTGCAAAATATTTGAACTCACAAAATATACATACTGGCCATGAACATTGGTAAAAGGCATCCTTTATCATTTGATATCAGCTGATACATCTTTGCGTTCCTGGTGGATACTCGGGAGGGCTTGACGCTGTTGTTCGTCCAAGTGTTTTTATGACTATAAACAGGTGTTGTAGCAGTAGTGACTCAGTGGGCTGAGCTGTCCTGTGTGTGTATTAAAAAAAACAGTGCACTCACAGGCCCGCATGCACTCTAGGCTGTGCATAGAGGAGGCCATGCGAGCGAGGCTGTAGGTTAGCGGTAGAATTTACCTGCATCGTCGACAGTGATGGAGGCAGCTCCTGTGACTGCATCAGAGCTCTGCTTCACAAATTCTGCAACAGAGAATGAAAGTATTTGTTTGTTCCTGCAAAATGGAATATTCACCATACATACCTCTGCAAGTAAAATGTTAAAATAGAAACCCTACCAACTGTCAGAACTCAGAGCAGAACTTCAGTAGCTTCAGTATTAACAAAGCCAAATGATTTAACAATAGGGAGAACTTGCCAGTGTATCCAAAAAACCTTGAAAAGAATTGGCAAAATGCAGACTGAAAAAGGTTGGCTCTGAATGTGAACTTATTGCAATGCACCATGAAAATGGAAACCAATTTGGCACGCAACGTGGAAAAACCCTCTTTCTTACCTGTGTGGACGCCGTTGTCCTTGAAATTCTGGATGTAATTGTCTCCAAAGAAGTCTTTTCCAACCTAGAAAAGATTGAAGGCAAAACGATTACAACAAAGAGAGTGTCAAGCTGGGTCAGACTTGGTTAGCGGCAACTTTTGAAAAGTGGTATACTCAAATCTCTGTTGGGCTGGATTTTCGTGTGCCCTGCCAGCATACTGGCATGGTGCCGCCGCCGAAGATGTGCAAAAATGAACACACAAAAGTCAACAAACGCACACACGCGCAAACACACGACCAGCTGCGCCAAGCCTTGAAGACACGATAACCCCGCCTTCACGCCTCTTCATGCCCACCTCGCTTTCGTTTTCTTTCCCTCCTGCCCCTCTTCCCCTGATCCGCTCTGGGATGTCCACATCTGTAGCTACTTTGGGTTGTGGAAGGGGTCCCCACCTTGCCCCGAGGCGCTTACTTCGAACCCACGCTTTCCAAAAAACGTGCCAAAATGCGGGCACTTCTAACTGCCTGTGATGATGGGTTGGGATGGTATTGGCTGCTTGGCCCCATTCTCTTTGAAGAGCGGCCTTCCATCTTGGCTGTTTTTGACAAGCCCGGGTGTCTATTTTTGGGTTCTCCCCATGCCCGGAGAGCTCCTCCCGCACTGGGTTGTTATCGATCGGGCCTCTTTGTTCTGACAGAGGTGGGGCTTTGGTGCTTTAGTGCTCAGGTTGAAAGGCCATGCTGAGCTTACTGATTGGAGACTCAGGGTTGCACGATATGGGAATAAGCTTGTTTGAAGGCGCGCAAGTGTAGGTGGGCGTATGCATGTGGTACGGTATTGATCAAGAGAAAATGAAGGATGGAGAGTCGATGGAGTGAAATGACTGAAGTGTGAACGAAGCTAAAAGGTTTTGAAGAGTTGTTAAATAGTTGGTGGGCTTTGGTAGCTGATGGCTGATTATCTGCACTGAGTAAGATGTGGACGAGCCAAAGGGTGGACAAGAAAAAGTGTTTCTTTTTAAAAAGAGAGAACACATATTAATGCTAAAATCCAACAAAAACTCCAAACTTTGACTGGGGTGCCATACCTTGCAGACCATAGCAGTTTTGACTCCAAGTCTGGCAGCCTGTATGCACTGGTTGGCCCCCTTTCCTCCAAAACCGATGAAGAACTTGTGACCATGGATGGTTTCCCCTGCTTTGGGTAGCCTTGGTGCCTTGCTGAGAGAAAACACAGTGTGTAACTATAGTATTTACAAAGAGAAACCCCTCATGGGATTGGGAAAATAAAAAATGAAGGATTCCTCTACTTGAAGGAATGCTTTGGTTGGTTTTTTTCATCTCTTCATACTGCACATAACAGTTGGAAAACCTTCCATCAAAGTTAGAAAAAATGTTTTGTTTGGCACTGCGAGTGTCAAAATGTGAAGAAAACCCTTCAGGGCTCAAATCCTTCCCTAGTTAAGCTATTTATTTATCACTGCAAAGCGTGCAAAACCACACAAACAAAAGTTTTTTTGTGGAGTCTGCTGAGGATTATATCTTTTGAAGGTCTTTCACTGAGAGGTCAACTTAATGCAAACATTGCTGGAATGAATGGAAACTTGTTTCCTTCAGTGTTTTTTCCCAGTCTTTTTTCAAAAAGAAACTTGCTTTATAGATTTAAAATGTACTTTTGTACCTAGACATTCAGCCAGATGTGCCAATACAAGTGTCTCCAAATTTGCAAATGATGCAACCATTGAATCCCACAGATGTCTCAACTTGACACTGGCTGTGCACGTAACGCCTGAGTCATGAGATTTGGTCAAGTCCAGCCCCTGCCCTCGAGGTTGATATGCCACAGGTGGGTGCCCTCAGAAGGAGCTGTCTGTGCCCTAATTCTTCCAATCACAGAGCCAGAATGGGTAATGAGTAACAGTGCATAGACAGCAGACAGCTTCATGTTGTATGTCAGGACTCTGCGGATTGGCTCTGGGCAGTGCTGGACTGAGGCCAAAGGGTTTGCGGGTGGCAAAATGTTGTCATAAACTTGTTTTCCTCCCTGTTGTTGCTCTTTTTCGTGCCTTTGTGCGCGTTTGTGTGTGTATGTCAGCGTGTTTGTGGCAGGTGTGCTGTTACAGTAAGTTCACTCAATCCCAGGATTTCCAGTAACTGAGAAGCCGGTGGCAAACACTAGAGGTTGTTCTAAATGCTGCTGTTTTTGCACAACCATGTGAAAACAACTGACATACCCCAGGCTATAACTGGATGTAAGGTCAGTCAGGCTAAAACGTGGTAAGAAGGAAACAGAACAAAGGTTTAACACATAAAACACACACATTTACACACACACATTTACACACACACACACACACACACACACACACACACACACACACACACACACACACACACACACACACATGCATCTTTTTTAAAAAGTTTCCCACCTGTGTCAGCACCATGCAACTCTTGAATAAGAACAGCACTGACACTGACACATTTTAATCAAGTGTCAAAAACCCAGAAGAAGAAATCTGAAATGTGATTTTTTTTTGTGCCTAAAGGCAAAAAAGGCAGAAAGAAAAAAAATCACAAAGTCAGCATTACAATACAGAAGCTAGAAAGAAAAGGGAGGCAGTCATGTCATCTGCCATTAAGACAGTTTGTTTTGGTAGCACAGAGGCTCACCGCGAGGTTTCACAGCTCACAGTGGCAAAAGAAAATCCCAGAAACAGTTTGACAGAAAACCACCTCTGTACCGCAATGTGCCATTCAGAGACTTTGTTTTATTTGCATAGATTACCAAACCAAAACACACCTTAAGCCCAGGCAAGCTGTCTCCTGATGTCAGACAGCCAAGCTAACTTGTTGCTTGCAAAACCTTGCAATATCTATGTACCTATATCCATATTTATATAATGTATCACAGATGATAAGGATAAGCAGAAGTGTACAGTTCTACTACTGTTTACATTCAGGGGTGCCATCATTCCTAACTTGATGCATTGTGTGTCTGCTCTGACTTTCCGAGTGGGAAACCCGAGCTCAGGGGGCGTTCCACAAAATTTCAACTGGGAACATGGAATTTCAGACTAATTCAGGAATGCACCATTAATTTCACACAGTTTTTTTTCCTCCTGGCTCTGTACACTGTCACTGGGAACATTGCCCTTATAAGGTCATCTAAGGCACACAGATGCCCCACCCACCTCCTGTTCAAATGTTGCACATACCAGGGGCAGCCAATCAGAAGACATCTGGCTTAAAGGGAGAGTGACCTTCAAAGGGAGAGGATCTAAAAGGGCTTTTTTCAGACTGGATGAACTGAGGGGCTGTAGCAAGATGCAATAATAGAACAATAGTGTGAATCACTCAAAGCTACTCTAATTAGAACACAGGAATAAAAATAAGGAGCTGGAAGTGAGCAAAAATAAAAGTCCACTCTAAATTCTAGTACCAAAGCAATGCAAGAGTCATCATAGGGTGCTTTAAAACATAATTGAAACTCAGTGATACTGTAGGAGCAGCACCTGGTGACAGTGGTGAGAGAGAAAACTTCTCCTAACAGATGTAACCTATAAAAGAACTAGGCTCTGGAGCCAGTTGGAGCAAGGGGAAAGCATAAATAAAAAGTGTCCAAAGAGGCATTTGTGGAAGACCAGAGTAGCATACAAAATACAGAAATCCCCATAGTTTTATTTAGACAGTTTCATGGAGATGTGATGCAAATATTTACAGAGACCAAGACGTCTAAATGACTGTGAGTCAGCCTCCTTTACAGTGTTTTGTTTTTGCTGTATTACCAGTTGGAATTTCTTAAACTTTGCCCCTGATAAATAACCCCCTATAATTATTCTAAGTTACCAAAAAACTGATATGTATGGTATGCATGGCAAAACTACAACACAAAACACAACACTTTAAAATAAATGTAATAACTCCATAGTGAAATAGCTGCATTGAAAGCGCATTTTGTGCAAGTCTTACAATAGAGCAATTAGAGTCCAATTAGAGCACTAATTAACAGGTATCCATGTCTCTCTGTTGACCCTGTGTTGTTGTGTTGAGATGGTGATGGTTACAAAGCTAAAGTCAAAGCTTAAACAGATGGATGACTTAACAGTGGCAACAGGCATCTATAACATACAGTTATTTTTGCAATAATACTGAGTCATACTGTGGTGTAGCTAGTGAAATGGCTAACATTTCTTGTTGTGTTGAACGGTTTAAAGGCTGTGTGGAAGAGCATTAATCCGCATCCTTCCTACAAAGGTCCCTTATCAATGCCCAAATTTCATTTTTAATCAAAACATTCAGGAAACTGATGTTAGTGACAAAGTGCCAATTTGGCTTTCCAAAAACTGTTAAAAAAAATGAATAAATAAGTAATGAGCCTAACTATTGTGGATGACGGTCTTACTCCACATTTGGCCGACAGCCACCTGAAGCCGGATGAGTGACAGGTAAGATAAACAGATTTCCAAATTCCTAAATAAACCCACCCACGCCTGTTCAAGCCCAGAGAGACACTTAGCTATTGTTGTCTGCGGTGAGTGTACCAAACAAACAGGGCGGTTATGTGCTAAAGTGCAACCTTAGTGCATTTTCTCCCACGGAACCAAGAGGCCAAAAGCAGGTGTGCAGTGACGTGAAGTGTTTGCTTTCAGGCTGGCCCTCATTTCCCTCTCCCTCCATCTCCATTAAAGTCATTTCTCAGCTGCTGGTGAGCAACAGGGGGGAAGCAGACATGGACAAAAACAAGCTGATATGATGTTTTTGTTTAGATTTTTCTGGGGGTTTTCTGGGGAAAGTTAGAAATGTCTTTCCAGTTCCAAGCACAACTTCCAAAGTGAACTTGCAAAATAGGATGAGGGAGGTCATGCTTTCATTTTTATTAATTGAAACTTTATTAAACTACAGAACAGTGGATATTGGGTGGTTGTACTAAACGTAATAAACATTTTAACTGAAGTGTAATGACCTTCAGCTCTTATTATGACTCAGACAAGTGGTTGTTTTTCCAAGTTCACGCATGGCTCAGAGGATAATATTATGTGCTCATCTTATATAATTCTCCTTGTCCACAAAGGTCCTTTTAGCTGACGTTCCAGTAAATCAGAACAAGGTGAGCAGATTTAACAAAGAACAGGCTGAGTGAGGACAGCATACCTTACATGGACATGGCGAAATGCTCCACTAACAAGAGGTGCAGTGTGTGAGTATACGTGGGTGTTTATATTTGTGTGGTCACACCATTTGTTGGAGTCACATGTGTGATGCCACTTTTTACGTGGTGGTCTATATCAGGCTTGGCAAACCAACAATTTCAGAACACGGGAAATACAAATAATAAAATTAACCTTTATGATGATTTGCTAGAATGTCTAAAGTTTAGCAATACATATGTTTTTCCTCATCTCATATTCTTAGCTTAAACATTAAATGTACATCGTTTTATTCCTGTGTAGGCCTTACCCATCATTTCGTTATATTTGGCTTCCAAGAAGCCACACTATTTTAAAGCAAGAACTCTCCAGGGTTTCTGAAGGTCTTTAAGCAATTTGTTACTAGCAGAATATCACAAAAAACATATATGTTGTTCCCATTCCTTTAGTTGTATCTACAGCTACTAAGAACTGAACATTTAGCATACCTCTGCCTGGTGTGCAATGTGTTCTTAAAAAATTCAGGGAAGTGGAGAAGTGGAGGGCATAATAAGTAGCAGTACTAAAAAAATATCTACAGCAGATGAACAGTATTGAAAAAAATGTTCTCAAGGCCTGACACAGACCTGAGAGATTCCTATGGCACTGAAGCCTCATAAGAAATGGTTTCAGTGGAGAATGCCTATCAAGAACCCATCCTTAAGGAGGGGAAACAGGCAGAGCTGGCTGAAGTAGTACGGCTCTTTAATTTCTCCTATTTTTTAAGCAAAATTAAAGACATGAAGGTTGGCTCGAGCCTTTTGCACAGAGTGATGAGTGATGTTAAAAGCTGAGTGCTTGCTGACCTCCAGCCCAGTGGAGCTTGTTCTTCAGCAAGTAACAAAAGCAACAATAAGCACTCAGGTTTGTAGTAAAGAAGCATCCGTTTCTACCATTAAAAGCTAGAGCGATCAATTTGAAGCGTCTTTGGGCTTTCAACTTTGCTGTGTGTTACAGCTTTGTGTTAATGCTTAAACACTCCAAGAAAGATTGTATGCATGTCTTCATTAAGGTAGAGATTTGTGATTTTAT